CCGTCTCCCCCACCTCCCCGGCCTCGTCCCCCCCCCCCCCCCCCCCCCCGCCCTCTCTCTCTCTCTCTCTCTGCCTCTCTTTTTCTCAGTTTTCTTTCTGCGTCTTTCTCTCCTTCCCTGCTCACGCTGTCTTTCCTCTGCTGAAACGTCCTAAGGGACCCAGTTTCAAACACAGGAACCAGAAACATATGGCACATTTTCAACTCCCAAGGTCAATTACAGCTATTTATCCAAAGATTGCAGCTAAATTTCCCAAGGTTTCTTCTAGATTTACCACAGATTGCAATGTGTGTCTGTCACATTTTAAATCAGGCCAAGTTATTTCTGCTCCTCTCCCCGTGACTTTCTATCAAATATTTCAAAGCCTTTCAAGTGGGTTTTAGACATGTTTTATCTCTGGTTATCATGTGCCCCATCTTTTTTTTTGCCTTAGCTTTTCTCGGTCCAAGTGCCACTTGCAACACAAATCTAATAACATGTAAATTGGAGATAAGCCCAGATCCCTCCAAGTGATATTTTTTACATTCATAGTTTGTCAAGTCAATTCCTGGGCCCCTGTTTTAGCAGCACAACACATGAGGAGTGAGAAAATTAACTGGATAGGTGATTCATCATTGCTAGCACACTGTCAAGGACTCCCTCTGCAGCTATTGAGAGCAGGGTGGAGGAGGAGGACGGAGCCAGGGAGGCGAGCGGGGGTGAGGTGTGTGGGGGGGGGTTTGTTTTAAATTATGGCATTTCATTCAGAATGCATTGTATTTACAGCGTCCCATTTTTATTTGTGGCTCCTATTATCCGCCGAAACAGTTGTGCATGAAATGTTATTTGTGACAGGGGTGACCTGAGAGTGTTTTTCCACACAGTATTTCACAGGCAAGGGGCCTTAACTGTACCTTTAGTGTACGGTGAGCACAAGAGGCTGTCACAGCTGCTGTTGGCAGCCCTGCTAGCGAGGAGAAATATCACCTGGAAACAGAGCACTCCATTCCGCTGGCCCCCATCACTCCGACGCCTGTCGCTGTAATTAAGTTGAAGTCAATGATTCTGGAGCGCTGGTGAGAAATAAACATGCAAACACATGCCAGAGTTTGCAGCCAGGCACTGGGTAAAAATGGAGCAAGGAGAGTGCGGGTCTTGTTTGCAGGAATTTACATTTGACTTTCATCACGTCTGCTCTGATAATGTCGATTGAATTAGTCTCCTACAACCCTCATTTCAAAAAGTGAGGGTTTCACATCTATTAAATATGTCATTAACTGTATGTTAGGAGGCATTTTAAACTTGGATTCATCAGGACAATATCAGAGAACAGATTTAGACTGTTTGGGTTGATGGTTGATGTCTTCGGGTCCTAAAGATAACAGGAAGTGGTTTCTAGTCCTGATGACCACTCAGGGCATTTCACACTAACAGTTTTGCCTTATACCTACTGACAGTAATAACCTGCAAAGTCTGGAATCAAACCCACAACTGTGGCCATCAGTCTGGTTTCTCGTTCACCAGGTTAACTGTTTGGAGGCTTGAGAATGAAAATCAAGGTTCCACCAAAGCTTTAGTTTGGCAGAGAAGAGGTAACTGTTTCATACTGCAGTAGACAATGAATGTCACTGCATGTTTGTTACTATATTTGCATAAAGGCCCGAGGTGTAAACTGCTGCTCTGAGACCTTTGAGACTGTGGACGGTACTGCATTAGAGAGTACGAGTGTTATTGTCATGACATACTTTAGGAATATAATGTTTCTCTGGGTAACAACTAATAGCACGTCAAGTCTTTTCCCAAGGATGATGCTCAGTTTAAATCAGTGTAAATTACTGTGGTTATAGTACACAGGCTCCTCAGTTTATGACGGCCTCCACCCACTGTACGGTGTTTACGCCATGCTCTGCATTGTGCTACGTTTGCTTTCTTTTGTTTGTTTTGTGTTTTGGGGAACTTTTTCCTCTTCTGGTGTTTTCATGTCCTAGACTATGATGCTGCCCACCTGCCTAGTCAAGTTAACCCAATGACTATGGAAGGTTTTGCACCAGAGAACTCACTGTCCCAAATGATGTGTGTATGATATTAAACAAATATATGAAAAGTACTTAGGAACAATATTTTGATCACTTTTTTTCTTCTGTCTTTGAAACAATGGTTTAAATGTAAATGTACAGTGGAACACCTAGATATAAGCTCCCCGAAAAGTTTTCAAAGTTACGAGGAGACAACTATTGCAAGATTTTCCTCATGATACGAGGAATGATCTAGTTACGATTGCTTAACCGAGGACTGGCATCCACTCAGTTGTACAGTGTGGGGAAGTCACACTCTGAAACTAAAGCAGCTGCAGAGTTTGTCATGAACTTTGTGTTTATTTAAATAAATAAAAAAAAATATATATATATATATACTGTATATTAGTGGCCCGACACTGGGTTATTTTTTATAACAATAATATAAAATGTTTTCTTAATTATTATTATTTTATATTATCAATATATTTGTTTATTTATGTCATAAATATGCAAACGAGATACGAGTGCTGCTGTGGAACGGATTGAACTCGTCGACCGTTGTGTTGGTGGTTATTCTTAGCTTTAGATTTTTCTTTTTTAACTTTAGTTTTGGTTTCAATCTGTCTCTATTTTATGCACAGCTGCTGCTGCTGGAAATGTTATCTGACATGAGGTGCTGAACGGTAGTCAGAGTCTGTCGAACAAAACACGCTGTTTGCTTTTCCCAGAGCATGACAGGTTGTTTCCCCTGCAACAAAGCCATCAAATATTCTGTGTGATCCAACATTGTGTTTGAGAGGAGGCCTGCTGAGCGGGAAGCCAGAGTTTGTTAAAGCAATGATTTATGATTAATGCCAACACTAAATAAGGGACAAAGTGCCTACAGTACAAATCAATTACAAAGCTACAACAGCAGACCTTTCCCCGAGGTCTACTAACGTCTCTAGTTGTTATGGTGATTTTATTGGAGGTGGGTGATGCAAGCATTATAATGCCTGCAATACATCTGTATCAACCTGAGCTGGAGCCAACTGTAATGCTTTTGATATTTGATTAGTTACTTCATGGAGATAAAATAGGACTTTCATGTTTCGCCACCGCACGAGAGGGAGTGTACGTTTTCCACGTCTCCACCCCGACGCCCACCTCAAATGCCGCCGACAGGACTGCACCAAACAAAACAAATTACCACAGGAGTGGCTTCTTAAAAGTAGGCAATTCATTATTTTTATGAAGTCAAATTATAAACAAATTTTAATCCATTAGGCAACCATCCATTCTAATTAATCAACAGTAGTGAACTCCATCTGAAAAAGGGAGAAAGGTTGTTTACGCTCTCCACGGACCAGCGGTGCATATTTCACCGTCTTCTACCCTCTCTTTCTGTCTCCCTCCCTCCCTCACACACACACACACACACACACAGATAGAGAGTGGAAAAAAAACATTCTCTAAATTACAAACCTAAACTGTGAATCCTAACACTCCACTTTTGGCGCTGGAGATGTTTCCAGGGCATTTGCAGATGCTTGAAATAATCTCCAATGTTTTTGCTCAATCTGCTCTGAGGATGGGTGAAATAAATACTTTAAACTAATTAATGTAAGACCAGCTGTTCCCAGCACTTGGCTGGCGTCGGTGAATATTGATGGGAGGGAGAGGGAGAGGCGGAGGGGGGGGAGGCAGACAGGGCTGTTCAGCTCCAATCGCTGCTGTATGTACAAGCCTCAGCCTGCCACATAAACAGATATGAATAGAAGATGAGAGCAGAGAGAACGCAGCCAGGGTTACACATTACAAATATTTTTTTTTTTTTTTTTTGCTGCTGATGGTGAGGACTTCCTACAGAGACCATTTGAAAACCGATGTGTAGAACAAAGTATCGCTCTGCAAGATGGCCACACTTTTGTTGCCTTGATAGCTGGCTGGATAGAAAACATGTCAGATCTGATGGGAGAACAACAGCAGCAGCAGCAGCAGCTTCTGCACTCACTGTATTCTGACCAGTCTGTGTCTGTATTACTGCCCTCCTCCTCCTCCTCCTGCTCCTGCTCCTTGGAGGCCCCGGTGAGGAGGCTGGACAGCAGATGGCAGGGCTCTACCCCTCTGCCTGTGATGAATGGAGTATGATGTCATTTTTAGCTTTGACAGGCACTCGTGTGTGCATACACAAAGAAACCCTAAGCCTTTTGGGGTTGAACGGCAGGTCTGCTTTTGATTTTTTTACTGTCCATATGACATGTCTTAAATGAAGCTGGATTTACGTCCTGGTGGAGAATGTTTAACCCTGCAGTCAAACACAAAGGAATCTCTTAAAATGCTGCTCTGCTGTATTTCTAACAAGAGATCAATACACACATGGTTGTAGCTCCTGGTTCAAGTCAGGGTCAGCGTGGTTCAACCCTGCACTCACATGTTATCCCATTTTTCAGGTGCACACATGAACCATGTTTTACTGTACCAAAGATGAATCTCTTGTCAACGCTACTGTATTGTCTCCACAGAAGACAACCCCCTGTGCACTCCAACAGCCAGAGACAGCTACGAGAGGTTGTCATTGGCCGGACAGGCTCTACCTCCAGGTTTCCCTTCACCATTTCTCTTCCCAGATGGTCTGTCATCAATAGAGACTCTGCTCACAAACATACAGGTATTGTCACAAAGTCTGTTGGCTAATATGGCCCGCTTTTTACCTTGTACCAGTGTTTGGTGTAGCCGTGTCTGGACCATGGGCCGTAGCCTGGACTCCATGAACAGTCTATTTAAACATGACTCTGTGGTTGTGCGAGACAGACAAACAGGAGCTAACACGAACACCAGGCAGAGCCACAGTTGTGGCCCCTTGACCACTGTGTTATCTCAGTAGATGGCGACTTTACATCACGATGCAGCTCAGAGTTAATTTCAGCCCCTTTCAATCAGAAAGCTGAGTGTATTTGCCTTGTGTCTGGGTTTAATGATGTGTGTTCACTGCTGCACTCTTCTCGTTGCACTTGTGCCATCGGCATCAGACTTTTCTTCTGCGGTAATTAGCGGAGCCACAAGTAAACCCCGCGCTCGCTCGCTCGCTCTCAGCAGCCCAGTGTGTGTCGTTTTTGATAATGATCTCTGTTCTGAATATTTATATACAAATCAACAAAATGAAGCCAAGCAGAAAATGAAGATAAAGCCACTTGGAATAGATTGGGGTCAGATGAATCAACAATTAGTAAGTTATAGACCACTGCATTTGGTATAATTGCAGGCGTGTGTTGGGAATAATTGCAATAAAAAAAATGGCTACTGTATTGTAGTATGTTTCAGTTTGAGGGGCCGTCAGGGGGATGTTTGGACTGGCGGCGATGTAATTGATATATGATGAGATCGTTGTCATTCATATTTTTCATTCCCTTCCCTAAGCGCAGGCTAAAAATGCAACAGAGGCAAATACAGTGGATTTATTAGTCGCCCTCCTGCAGCAGAGAAGTAAAATAAAGTGAGGAGAAGTTCACCCAGGCCTTATAAACTCTTTACCCTCTGCTTAACAGACTGGAACGACATCCAGGAGCTACTTCATCTTATGTCTCCCAATAAAGCCAGGCCTGGATATTTTAGGGCTGAGTCCCACAGCTCCTGTACGGAGCGGTGACCTAAGGGGGTCAGAATCATCCAGGGCTCCT